CAGAATAAGCAAAGCTTGGAGTTCTGTAATGCAGATTGAAGAGCCTTTGGAGAGTTTAGGGCTTAGATTGAAAAGAGGGTTTTAGTGAAACCAACAGAAATCAACTGTCGCAGCTTGCTCTAGAGGCACATGTAATAACTGACAGCCATACAGCTGAGAGAAGTGACCAGTGACGGATTAGGCACACAAATCCATACAAAAGACTAGCTACGACAGGCTAACTTAGGCAGGGGTGAGGGGTGGTACATCCTTCCTACTGGAAGTAATCAATGCCGTCCAATCGAGCCTCTCAACCATAATGGGGAGGAGCGTGGGGTGAGTCAACCTTGTACTATTCATTGACTTGCCGGGGGAATAGAAACCGGACTGTCACTCCCCAGAATGGCATGAGCCAGAACCAAAAAAAAAAAAAAAAAAAAAAAAAAAAAAAAAATCGGCTGCTTTGTTAGTGCTTCCTTGTGCTTCGCTGCGCCGTGGCCTAGTTGCTCATCCGCTTATATTGCCTAGTCTCTCCATGCAGCGTACCTGTTTGCCCTGTGGTTTGGCTGTGCTGTCAGCGCTGCCTTAAAGCCCACTGCACTGTTGCCCACTGCACTGTTACTTTGCTGCTTGTGCTGCAGTCTGTCCGCCTTCAACACGAGTGACTCAAAGCGACAATATGCCAATATGGGAATTCCACAGGGTGTCGAAGGTTCAGTCTTCTGATGAGTTGGTGCAGCAACTGCCAGCAAGCCATCATCATTAGTTTTCGTTTTTTTGGGTCTTTTGATGTTTTCTGGTACTCGTGCTTTTTGCCTTTTCCCTTGTTGCCTTGTCCTGTTTGTCTGCTCACCATGCCCTCCAGCCTGTGTGCCTTGCTTTCGTCCTGTCCGTTGGCCATGGTCTTTGTCTCTTTTTTTTTTGTAGTTATATTTTTTTGCCCTTTCCGTTGTTGGCATGACCTGCTGCCCACACGCCTCCGCCATGCCCTTCAGCGAGCCTGTGTGCCTTGCTGTGGCTTGTTGTTCAAGGCCTCGCTGCCTACCTACCCTTTGCTTTACTGTCTTCTGCTTCACTTGCCCGTGGGATTTGATGTTTTCCCTACTCACGTAAGGTCCCATGCGAGCAGCCTATGCATGTCCTGAATTGGTGTGGCGATGTTTGGGCTCGGCAACCTTCCTCTCCATCGTACTTTCTATCCTGATAAGTGCCGAAAACTTGGAGCATGGTGGTGCGGTGTTCATACCATGACATGCATACAGTTACTATTGCACAATACACACATATCAGTGATGATATCACACACACCCGCACACACACAGATTATGCAACCTCGTGCTGGGCCAGTGAAAAACCGACGAAACAGTCTGGCACAATCACGCTTTCTCATTGGAGATATGTACAGCAAGCACAACACACACACACACACACACACACACACACACACACACACACACACACACACACACACAGGTACATCGGGCGGTTGAACGGTGACAGGGACAGGAGCACGACCTCAGGCTGAGCAGACGAGGCGGGCTCTGTAATAAGTGCGGTGTTCTCTTTCTCTCGCCTTTGTTGTTTTTCCTTTTTCCTTTTTCCGATTCTTCTTGTTTTGTCCTCCTTTTTCTTCTTCCCTTTTTCTTTTTTCCTTTTTTCTTTTCTTTTTTTGTCTTTTCTCTTTTCTTTTTTCTTTTTTCTTCTTTTCTTCTTTTCTTTTCTTCTTCCCCCCCCCTGTTTTTACCCCCCTGATACGCACATGCACGCCCCTCCCTGCAGTATGTCCCTTACTGCTTCGTCGGCCCTCCACCACCACCTCCCCACCCACCCCACCCCTATTTTTTCCTTACTTTGAATAAGGCTCGCCTCTGGTCACCCCTTCCGAAGAACGTGATTAGGCACACACCCCACACATGGATAGGACCGAGGCCCTTCCCATGAAGATGACCGCCCCCCCGACGGCYTGTAAGAATAGTGCAGATACATAGGGAACCGGGGGATGTCGCGCACTCAGAACAGGGCCGGTTCGTGAGCCAGGCCATGGGCCGATTGTAGCCTAGTTTGCTTGATGGTTTTGCATTTTCTCCTTTTTATTTTTATTTTTCCTATTCTTTTTTCTTCTTTCTTCTTTTTTTCTTTTTTCTTTTTTCTGTTCGTTTTTTGCTAAGTAGGTACTCTGGAATAAACGGATGGATGTGTGAGGAGGCTTGCATTGGAAGGCCACGATCTCCGATGGAGGAGCAACTATATTAGGACCAGACGTAGGTAAGACTGTTCATAGGTCCGGGCGCGGTGCGTTCTGGTTTTGCGGGTTCTTGGGTGAGGCGGCGCACGGCATGGACTTCTTCGACGACTGGGACCAGGTGGAGGAGCAGCCGGAGGCGGAAGACGCGGTAACGATCCTGGCGTGAGGACTCTCTCGTCAATTTCCTGCTGCCCCGACCGGACCTCGACCACGCACCATGCAAGCGGACGCGACCTGCCTTGCGCAACCTGCCCTGCTCCCTCCGGGCTCAATCACGCCAACGCTGGGCGCAGGCCTGGCCCTCCTCTTCCTCCTCACCTTACTCCCCAACCTCGCCATTGCCTGCATGCTCACGGCCGCTNTGTAAGAATAGTGCAGATACATAGGGAACCGGGGGATGTCGCGCACTCAGAACAGGGCCGGTTCGTGAGCCAGGCCATGGGCCGATTGTAGCCTAGTTTGCTTGATGGTTTTGCATTTTCTCCTTTTTATTTTTATTTTTCCTATTCTTTTTTCTTCTTTCTTCTTTTTTTCTTTTTTCTTTTTTCTGTTCGTTTTTTGCTAAGTAGGTACTCTGGAATAAACGGATGGATGTGTGAGGAGGCTTGCATTGGAAGGCCACGATCTCCGATGGAGGAGCAACTATATTAGGACCAGACGTAGGTAAGACTGTTCATAGGTCCGGGCGCGGTGCGTTCTGGTTTTGCGGGTTCTTGGGTGAGGCGGCGCACGGCATGGACTTCTTCGACGACTGGGACCAGGTGGAGGAGCAGCCGGAGGCGGAAGACGCGGTAACGATCCTGGCGTGAGGACTCTCTCGTCAATTTCCTGCTGCCCCGACCGGACCTCGACCACGCACCATGCAAGCGGACGCGACCTGCCTTGCGCAACCTGCCCTGCTCCCTCCGGGCTCAATCACGCCAACGCTGGGCGCAGGCCTGGCCCTCCTCTTCCTCCTCACCTTACTCCCCAACCTCGCCATTGCCTGCATGCTCACGGCCGCTTGCCTCTCCGAGAGAGTCTTTCTGTATGCTTCCTCTAAGGGCTTCGCGCTGCTGATAGCGTGCACTATCTGCTTCATCTCCTTGTTCCTAGCCTGCTGCTGCTGCCTCTTTTTCGCGATCGGAGCTGCTTTCGGTTGGCGCGCGCTGGTTGAGTAGCGCACGGCGGGAGCAATGGAGTTGAAGGGCGCAATAGGGACTTCTCCACACGTTTTCTTGGCCTTTCTTTCCTTCCTGTCCTTCCTATCCTTTCTGTTCTTCATATACTCCCTCCCTTCTCTCCCGCCGCCTGGATGCTGTTCCCCCCTCCCCTCCCCCTTGAATTCCCCCTCCCCCGTCTTGACCACTGCCACCGCCCCCCACGCTCCCCCTCGCCACGCCCCCCCTCGCACTTCCACGACCCCTCCACCTTCCAAAGACCATGGAAGATGCTCCCCCTCCCCCCTCTGATGACGCCCCAGATGGCATGGGGCAGAAAAGCGCTTTAGGGATTTGCCATGCCCTCCCTGCGATTCGGCGAGATGGTCTGTGCGGAGGCAGGAGCACGATGGGCCTGGAGGATAGAGCTGAAGCAGGGTTTCCTTTTTTCCCCCCCGCCCCCCCTCCCCTTCTTTTCTTGACCACCATCCTTCCCCCGTTGCCCCTTCCCCTTCCTGGCTATTCGAAGAGTTACGTGGATGGTACTTGGCAGCGAGGAATGATTTGGCTTTAATTGACTTGGCGCTCTATTCATTTTTCGCAGCGATTCGCGAAGTTTGTTTTTCTATTGTCTATTTGCGCTTCTTCGAAATGGGCGTGCATCTTGGGATCTACAATTGAAAAAGGACTGGGGATAATAGTAATTGGCCTATGGATGATGCATGGATGGCTCGTTTTCAACCTTCTTTACTCTCTTATTGTCTCTCGGTTTTCCTCTGGAGTGTTTTGCTCTCATCACTCTCTTCCCTTCTCCTCCTGAGAGACAGAAGCATATGGCATCTGAGTGTTTGGTCGAGGGAGGGCATGCATGTTTTCCTTCTCTCCTTCTCTCCTTCTCTCCTTCCCCTCCTCTCTCGCTCGTTCTCTCCGGAATTATTGTATGACTTATGATCAGTGCTTGGAATGGACTATGATTGCAGACTGCATCCGCCGCTTCTTGAATGACTCCCCCTTGCTTTATATCGTCGTCAGTTTTGGTTCCCGTTTTAGCTTCTCTCCCCTCTCAATAAGGCGTATAGCGCCAGTAGTAGTTCTTTGCATTTTTGGCAAGAAAGATTGTGATATGCTGTACGTATGATCTATGTATGGGATCATTCCTTCTGGAAAGGCAGGCCTACGCCCGTTCTCCTTTCGCCCTGCGCCCTTCTTATGCACCCACTTACTTTCGGCTATACCGGCCTATTTCGCCCTCGCTACAGACGGACACACTGTTTGGCTTTACCCTGCCGCGTTTGTGAATCGCCTCCGCGCCTTGTCTATTGCCTGCGGTGTGCCGACATGGTCGGAGCAGTACAGGTATGACGTGTCGTACCTGTACGCATCTCATGTTACACACACATGTCACACACACACACACACACACACTATGACACACACAACCACACACACACACACACACACACACACACACACACACACACACACACACACAGAGTGCCACACACACACCATGACACACACACACACACACGAACAAGCAAACAAACAAACAAAAACAATCTCATACCTACAGGCAGACATATGAGTGATACGAAGGGGAAAGTAGACGAGTGATTCGAAGAGTGTTTAATGGAAAACTCTTCAAGGAGACACATTGGGAAATTTGGGATCCATCCTGGGAATAAATGTCTGTCATCCACAGCCTGCAGGATTCGCAGGACACCTTAGTTCCATGCGTAAATGAGCTGAAGAGCTCAATGAAAGCCTGAAGAAGTGTCAAACATTTGAATCAGCTCCTTCTCCCCATTCTTGTTAGATACTTCGAAGTATCAATACTGATTTTATATATGACCTCTAAGAAAATATTGTCAGAATCCTCCCTCCTCCTTCCCCCCCCCCGAACATTACACATACAAGCCAACCAAATGAAATGCCCCGCGTCACCATGACAGTTATACTAGAACACACGACTAAGGCTACGCCATGGCATAGCAGGGGACTTCTTTGTCTACGTCACACCCAAGAAACCCATCAGTACATGCATCTGCAGCCTTGATTCAGATCTGTCAAACTAAAAAATAATAAAATATCCAACCTGCTGTCATGTATCTAATGCCCAGCAAGCTAGAACGGCCAACAGGACAGCGGGCCAGAGCCCAGCAGACTGTCCGTGCCTGCCAAACTGTCCTATAAGGCTTAAAAGGGATATAAACCATAAATCCCTCTGAACAGTTAGTTAAACTTAGATTCTGATTCTCCGGCTGTATGTAGAAGAAGCACACAGCCAGAAGGCCAGGTACTGAGAACCACAGCAGGAAAAGTTGACACAGAAGTGACAGAAGCCAAAAACAGTGCTGAAACTGGGGGCACGTCAGTGTTCGGCAGTGTGTGCATAACCCGCGCCAGTTCAGTGTTCCACCATATGCATTAACCCGCGCGCCAGTTCAGTGTTCTGCAGTGTGCATCAACCCGCGTTAGTTCAGTGTTCTGCAGTATGCATTAACCCCCACGCCAGTTCAGTGTTCTGCAGTGTGCACAAATTGTGAGAAAGATGGCCACCAGATTCCCTTGAAAACCAGAATCCCAGTTCCAGGCAAAGGTAAAAAGCTGTGCACTTACAAGGCACAAACTGTGCCGAGCCGACAGTGAATGGATTGACACAACCGTGTTGTGAGAGTTGTGAGAGTCGTGAACCAGACGGTGTCACACACGGACCAACACGCTACGACTGTCATATATAGCCCCAGGTATCATACCGTGAATCTCGTGCGCGATCCTGATTAATCAGGTGCAGGAATCAGCCAGCCGCCTGATGATAGAGACCGACCAAACAGGCGACATCAGGGCAACTTTTGTCCAGTCCCGCTAGATGATTCAAAGTTTAGCAGTTGATGTTTAAGCTTCCAGTTTAATTTCTAAAGAGAGAACACTGGATGCTCCTCAGGAGCAGGACAAGACATTCTCACCTGGCAGATGTCTTCCACATGCTCAGCTGCACCTGACGTTGTCACATGAAGGTACTGCAAAAGAGCAGTGTCATCACATGGAGGTACTGCAAAAGCGGAGTGTCGTCACATGAAGGTACTGCAAAAGAGCAGTGTCGTCACATGAAGGTACTGCAAAAGAGCAGTGTTGCGGAACCCATGACTGCCGATGTATAGAACATAACACATGTGGCAAATGTCTTCCACATGTTCAGCTGCTGCGCCTGGAGTCGTCGCACGAAGATACTGTAAGAGCAGTGCTGCGGACTCCGTGATTGCCGACGTACGGACACCAACACATACCACCTCTTCTGCGGACTCCGTGATTGCCGACGTACGGACACCAACACATACCACCTCTTTCACAGATCTCTATGCCTTGATAAGAACTGGGAAATTCTTTCAAATTCAACCATCTCTCCAGCTAAGGCTCTCAAAGTGAAGATCCGGCAGCGATCGCAGATGCAGACAAGTCTCCCTCGAAGAGGTACATCCAAAGTCGTATAGTCCAAATGCTCCAGAAGTTCCAAACATATTCCCAGCAATGAAGTGGGTCCGTGGGAGGTGATCTCCTCCCCCCTTTCATCTTCCCACACATTTGTGCTTTCCCACCCCTTTAATCTTTGAAAGGGTTCTTATTTCGGCATCTGATTCATCACCCTTTGACAAACATGTTCAGCCATAACCTCCTGAATCTGTACGCAGTTCTGCAGGCTCCAAGGGTCGACGGCCTAGCCCAGTTAATTTCACACGCAAGTGGGGCCTTCAGGAGGTCATGGGTTCAATTCCCCAACAGCCGCCTGCAGCATGCTTGGTGCTCACCCGCAAGGATGTCTGTCTGAAATTCTGAATGAGGTACCACAGTTGAGCAGATTTGCAGGACACCTTACGAATCTCAGTAAATGGGCAGAAGGATCCAAACAAACTCCGCACTTTAGCGGGGCGCAGGGTTAATTGGCTTATGCGTGCACATCTGAAATAGGTATTCTGGAAGACTGACGGTCTACGCCAATGGGTGGAACGCAGGGCCAATGGCCTTATACATGCCCCAAACTGTGAAGTTGAGAGCCTCAAGGGCTCATCACGCAAAAGAATAAATAGCGGTCCCACCGTCCCAGTCAATCAAAAACTTGATCGCGATTTATAAATGCTGAATCTGAGTCACATGAACAACACATGTACTAATTGATTCCCTCCCTCGAAGCGCTGGATGCAGCCTGTGCATTTCCTTTACGAAATCATTTTTGAGAGTGGAATTTGAATTGAGAGTTTGTCTCGTCTGCATGGTCAAGAACCAAATATCAATGGCATATGCATATGCATGTCCAATCCGAGAATCGAGCACACAACCAATGGCTTGTCAGGCAAACACCTAACCGATAGGCCAAACGCTTTTTGCAGACACACCCAGCACTTCCAGGACGCTATCTGCAGGCATGGCCATTGCTGCTGTAGACTTCAGGGAGAGCAATGGGAACACAACCAACTGCTTGTCAGGCAAACACCTAACCAATAGAATAAACGCTTTGTGCAGACACATCCAGCGCTTTCTGGACACTTTCTGTAGGCATGGCCCGACACATCCAGCGCTTTCTGGACGCTTTCCGTAGGCATGGCCATATCTGCTGTAGACTTCCGGGAGAACAATGGGAACAGGAGAAGCACCCGCTTCTGCGGACACACCCAGCTTTACGAGCTGCCATTAAGCCGATACAGGCCAAGAACCCTTTTATATTGGACAGAAACACTTTCGATTCGCAATGATGCGTCCCAGAGTTAAGTATGCAACCATAAAGACTGCAATAAAGGCATTTACATCCACCATCATCGAGTCAATGCTACGCTGCCATCCCCTGTCGAGTGCCTGAAATCTTGAACCGTCCGCATACTGTGACACTCATGCATATCGACCACAGGGGTAAAATGTGGTATTCCAATCCTTGCCATTGAGGATCTGACCATAGCCCACGACCAGAGTTCGAGCTCCTGATCTAATAAGCAGATAATTATGAAGAACCTGAGCCATAAATAGTCCAATAGAAGTCTTTTGTGTTCGAATCTGCAGATCACAAGCAATGGCACGCAAAACAAGTAAGCTACTAAACATTGGAAAATCCGAACTGAATGGAAAGGACGGTTGATGGAAAACGGGCGAAGTACAAAGAACCGTTGCCCAAAGAACTGAATATTGGGAGAGCTAGCTGATATCAATTTCTGTAATTTCCTGATTATTTCTCAGTTCGCGGAATTCACTTTGAAAAAAAAGGACCTTCCCAGCAAAAGGCAGAACTTGCAGGGCATTGGTATGTAGTATGTTGTACATGTCCCGCACAGAAAATCAAAAGGGTTTACAAGTTACTACTCCTTAACTTTTCAGAAATCTGTATTTGCAGAAAGTTTCAGTCTAGATGCATTTGATTTACAAGTCTACAAACCAAATGCATCTAGACTGAAACTTCCCGCAAATACAGCTATAATGACCATACCACAACGTATACATTCTATTCGCGGAAGATGGTAGCGGATCCATCAAGCTACCCTGGATCTTAACCCACCAATACACCCCAGCCTTTCGGGACCCTCAAAAGTTTGCCCAACCCTGGACTACCGAACCCTCACAGGGCCAACCAAGTGCCACAGTATTTCTTTTGCTCTGGTATGTCGGACCTTGTTGTAGCGCACTGTTAACCGGTGTCAGTTCGTGTCCAGATGGAAAATCATATGTGCAAGCCCACACCATGTGGAAAATTGCGCACGTACGGCATGCCGGCAAAAGGGGTCGCACGGGTGAAATAGGCACCCTTAGTGGGAGAGCGATTTCGCTACCTAATGGGTCAAGACTGATGTCCCAGACGCCTATTTGAGGCTATTTCTCGTGCCCGATTGGACAAAAAGAAACATCTGCTCGTCTGCACTCAAAAAGGATCTGTTCCTTGTGATTTTTTTGACTTCGGATTTTTTCGAAGACACAGAGTCTGAAGACTCTGAATAGTGTTTATTAAACTTTATTTTCTTTAGCCTTAACAAGTCAAAGGCCAGCTGTGGGGGCAGAGGAGGAGCCTTAACAAGTCAAAGGCCCCACCATGGCGGGTGCATCAGGTAGGAAGAGGCAATGTGGGACATAACCTATAGGGAGAGAGGGAAAGCACTCAGCAGTGGGGGCAGAGGAGGAGTACACCATCCAGGACATACGACAACATCATGAAGATGGTGTCTATGACCTTATTTGGCATAAACGCGGTGCTTGGCACCACTCTCTCCGCCTCTCTGCTCTCACAAAACACAATGAAAGAGCACACAGTGGTGCCACTAGGTGGTCCTATGTGGGCTAGGTGATGCTATGCGGCGTGGGTGCTATGGCCGACTGGGTGCTCTGGCTGCGGGGTACTGTGGGCCCTAGTCCCTTCATTCCAATACACCTTGGGAGATGGCACAAAACTGCAACACTGCCGAGCATGCGAGCTGTTCCACTACATCGACACAAGACGGGATGCGATGAGACAAAACAAAACGAAACCAGAAATAATTTTCAAATAAAATCAATAAGCGCTCGCTCACACTGTTGTATTCTATAGAGTTCATCACAATTCGAGCTCGTGGCCTGTTCCTTGACAGTAAACCAAGAGGGACAAAATAAAAACCGATAAACAGAAGAAAAAAAAAAAGGCGACCAGGCTGCAACCCTAATGTTATTGCATTTCGCCTTGCTCCACTACACAATGCTATCTGGACTGCATGTTGATCTGCATACATTCAGGCTGTCACAATTTCAGCTTTTTTTTTTTCTTTTTCTTTTTCCTTTTCCGGGTTTCCCCCTAAAACTACACTATTCTTCTCTCAAATTCTTGCATCTTTCACGACCTACCTACCACTACTCCTAAGGCTATACAGGGGACCCCTGCAAGCATAGCTATCTACCTCTCTTGGTGAAGGGAGGTTAGCTCTCTCGGTGGAGGGCGGTAATTGCATGTTTGCCCCTTGCCCTGGTGGTCTAGGGTGCAGGGTTGGGGCTGCCGGTAGGGGCTAGGCTAACACAAGGACCGAACATTTGCCAGTAGCTGCGCCTCCCTTTTCATCTTCCCCCACTCCCATCGAGTAACAGCAGTGTCTGAGGCCAACACTCTCCGACACACCACATGCAGCTCGCTCACACTCACACTCACACTCACACTCACACACGTGTTGGCTGAAGACCCTACTAATACCGACCGGGAGGATCCGGCTAACTATCTCAGTTGGATGGCACCAAGCATACAGCAGGGGGCTATGGGGATTGAAGTTCATTGCACCCACGACCTCCCGAACGCCACTTGCTGCTTGCGTGCCTAACCAATCGAGCTAGGCCGCTCGATACAATTTCAGCTCGGAAACAGCACAAATAGAAACGAACTTCCGAGAGCCCAAAAAAAAAAAAAAAAAAAAACACGATGACCTCTTCTGATTCCATTACAACTCAAGCCCCATGCTTTCGCACCTCAGCGTTAGCTGATTACTAACAGTTACATGATTGCTGCTTGCTGGCATGGGCCAGCCATGTACTTGCATTCGAACGACCCTTGGACAGCCCCTCACACCCTCCTCTTCCAGGGGCCATTTTTACCTTCGAGTACTACATCACATGGCCTCTTGGTGACAGGGTTTCGGCCAGAAATCACTGTGTATACCTAGTTGACCTTCAGAACATCGAGATCATAAGCATGTTGGTTTCCTTCTCCCATTTACAGATGCAATCGTAACCTCCTCCTCCCTCACCTCCCAATGTTGTGGAAGGTTGTATACACCTGAGTGCTTTCCCTCTCTCCCTATAGGTTATGTCCCACATTGCCTGTTCAAGAGAGCAGAATGCAATCTATTGTTCCATACTGGACCTAATTTTCTGTAGAATGGCAATCGTAACCCCCAATTTTCTGGACCTAATGGACGTCCAAGAGAGCAGAATGCAATCTATTGTTCCATAGTACTGATTCTATCATTCTGTAGAATCGATGGATATCGAACAAATCAGTATCAACTACTGAATACCATATCTTTACCCTTCACAATCCAGAACTGGGTTGAGAAAGTTCAAAAATCCATTCATGCAAAAAGCCATACCCTTTTTACAAACTGACGGGGTCCGCTCCTTGGATCAGTTTCGCTACAAGCTGGCTTGCGACAGTGCTGGCAATATGTCCACTTTGAATGAGCTGACTTGCTATGTGGCTGGCAACGGCACTTGGATCCACCCGCTTGAAAACCGGTAGCTTGTTGAGGGGGGCCTCTAAATTGCGAAGCCATCGCGGTCCTTCATAAACTTCTTGGGGGTTCACCAGGTCACACCAAAACCCTCTGCAGCAAACATGCACAGTATTAAAGACCTTAGTTGTTAGTGCTTGTTACTAAATCAGATTTACAAGCCAGGATTCACATACGCAGAGGAAGGCGAAAAATGTATAGTGCAGGTGCTTTATTGAAGCGTACTAAGCTTGACCGTACATAATACAGACTACATTGTACATAACATATTGTCACATAGCAATGAACTAAAAGAGCGCACTTTGCGAAACAAACGGTAAAAAAAAGAAAAGAAAAAAGACCAACATGGGGGCACACTGAAACCATTCAGTTGTCTCATTCTTATATATATATTATATTATATTATATATCGTATATATATTATATATATCGTCACAATATATATTATATTATATTATATACCTCCTGATGAGTCGGTGAAACTCCGACGAAACAGTTTGTCACAGCCCCTCGTTTGTTGTCCTCTTCTCCCTCTCTGCCTACGGTTTACCGGGCAGTTCTATTTGACGATATATTATATATATCTTCACAATATATATTATAATAATTATATCTATATATTATATCTTATATTATATATATCGTCAGATAGAACTGCCCGGTAAACCGTAGGCAGAGAGGGAGAAGAGGACAACAAACGAGGGGCTGTGACAAACTGTTTCGTCGGAGTTTCACCGACTCATCAGGAGGCTGAACCCTCAACAGTCTGCAGAATCCCCTCNTATCACTCACCCACACCAGATGGAAAACTCTACAGACTGTCGGTTCACACCCCATCACAAGCCAGCAAAACATCCACGAAACAAAGAAAGGTCTGTCACAGCCAAAAAATACACTCCAGACACGCCGCTGGCACTATAGCCAAACAGAACTGGCCGGTAAACCATAGGCAGAGAGGGAGAAGAGGACAACAAATGAGGGGCTGTGAAAAACTGTTTCGTCGGGAGGCTGAACCCTGTGTCGTCAAACAGATCCCAACTTGTGCCCGGATACACGCCAGGGTGCCCAGCCGGGCATGACCCCAGGCAACGATCTGGGCAGCCCCTGTGCACAAAAAAAAAAATAAAAAAAAAAAAATCCAGAAAAAAAGAATGTTCTCATTGTTCTGTAGAATTGCATTTCCAACAACTAGCCCGGATTTTGATCTCGGTATGCGCAGAAAACCCCCACGGCAACTTTTATTTCCCCCACCCCCCGGCGCCGGGGTACCCCGGGCAACACGCCCAGGTGGTCGGCCGGGCCAGCCCAGCCGCGCGTGACAATCTTCCTTATAGTAAATATCATCGTAAAGAACTGCCTAGCGAACGGTAGACAGAGATGGAGAAGAGGACAACAAACGAGGGGCTGTGACAGACTGTTTCATCGGAGTTTTAAGGGACTCATCAGGAGGCTCAAACCTGTATAGCTGTAAACTAAATGTGTAACCGTAGTAGCGATTTGTCAAGATAGACCCAAAATCTCAGGCCTGTTAGTCCATGCCTGGTAAAGTCAACAGTCGGGGCCAGAATGGGAAGGAAAGCCAATGGTCAAACCCTTTGCCCAGGCAAACCTGAACCATCAAACACACTACATAAACGCCCGGCCACCATGATTTGCTTGTTGATGCATGCAGACCCAGCTGCCATCAGTTGTAGCCTCAAGCTGCAGTTTCCAGCATTGATCAAAGCGGTGCCATCGTTCAGGCCAGTGTCCTGGCATGTCGGAATAATGTAGATCCTGGTGCTGTCATACTCACGCTAGTACTTCTCCGACTGAATCTGTCTGACAGAGAAGACATATATCCTGGAAAGAGCAGGTGTGAGAACGGCTCAGTGCGCCCTCATCCATTCGCTTTGTGGCTGAAGTGCTGGAAAATTAGACTACCAGAGCAAGAGAGCATCAATTACCCAGCAGAAACAGCAAGGATGATGATGATGGGGAAGCACCATAGCTACCACAGCAGTGGCTACGTGCATGGCATCGGGGTAGAAGCGACAATTGATAACTCAGAACTGGTGTGAGGAGGAGCCTAAACTTAGGTGGAGGTGGAGAGTCCGGCAGTCATAGCGTCCATGCTGCTGTGATCACAATTCGGCTATATTGGGTGGCGCTGGCCCTTACTAACTCATCAGGCTCACAATCTGTCGTCCTCATAGAGCTCCCGACACGTGAATTGTCCCTCTTCAATTTTTGAATTATTTTTCATTTTTCTGCTTGAAGAGGAGGGGAACCAATCACAGTAGGAAGAGAACCACTGGAGAGACTTAGGGATTGATGTCGACCACGAATTTGCTTGGCCGCTTGCTCTTGGGCAAAATGCTGATTGTACGGTGAAACCTTGACTCACCTTCCACCTTAAACCACCAGTACATCCGAGCCTCCTTTTGCCGAGGAGGGTTCCCCCTGCGCGCCACGCTTTGCTGAAACACCACCGTGGCGTGTTTTGTTTTCAAGCGCCACGCTTTGCTTAAACCACCAGTACATCCGAGCCTCTTTTGGCTAGCGCCGCCAGCCATTTTGGTCTGGCAGCATTGTTTTATCCAAACTTTTCGAAATGACTTTTTTTTTTTTTTTTAATTCGACAATCTGCGGAGCACCGGTTTTGGATGTTTTGGGTCATGAACCCTTTGACCCTTGTTGAAGGCAGATTGCCCACAAGCGGAACACAGCAGCGAGCAGCACCCGTGTGAAGCACCAGGGAACACACCCGAAGCCACTCAACCGCACAACACCAAAGACGACTGCAAGGAACAACACGTCAAACAGCGGACGGCAGCAAGAAACAACCCTGCGAAGCACCAGGCAACGCACCAGAAGTCACTCAACTGCAGAACGACACAGACGGCTGCAAGGAACAACACCGCAAGTGGAGGCACAGCACAGCGCTCGTGTAATGAAGCACAAGGCAACAACCACACGACCACCACACTACACGACACACAAGCAAGGAACCCAAAAGGCACGGCACATTTAACAGCACACAACGAACAGCACGTGACCCAAGCGGGATAGGCAGCAAGGCAACGGTGACGCGCAGACAGCACAAGGCAGCCCACACATCCAACACGGAGCAAAGCAGCACATGACCTACTCACATCACGGGTGAACACCGCAGACTGTTGGTTCCCACCACCCAATGAGCGACCTACTCACATCACGGGTGAACACCGCAGACTGTTGGTTCCCACCACCCAATGAGCCAGGGAGTCACTCCGCCGAACATCCGTCATCACCGACAGGCAACACAGACGCCCCGAACCGAGCAGCCCCCCTAATGACTCATTTTCAACTCTCAAGTTTGCCTGGGTGGTGTACTTGCGGTTTAATGCTCTGTTTCAGTGTCTTGCATAAACATGCTCCGTCCGCACCAGAACTTGAATTAAGAGGAACCTACTGTAGTGGAAGAAATGTTCCACGCCCAGAAGCAAACATTTGCCCGTTCACATCGCCTTCCCAGAAGCTGTTGAGGAAAAATCCCGCTTGCCTCGATTCGTGATTGCTGTCCATTGATCTCCATAATCTACCGTCCGAAATGAAAACTCCCAGCCGAAATCCTACCGATCCAAACTCCAGATCCTTCATCCCTGACCGTTGATCCTCATAGACTATGACCAGAAATGAAGAAGCATGGTAGGTCAGACTGCATCTTCTTTTTTCCAATTTTAACCTTTAACCTTTGGTAGGTCGGACTGCATCTTCTTTTTTCCAATTTTAACCTTTGGCACAAAGGATCAAATCTCAACAGATTGCCATGCCAAGACCATTCTACTGCTTAGAATACCCCATTCCTGTGCTCTGCTGAGGGAGGGCAACTCTGAAGTTATGCCTTCGGGACCAGACCGTCTGCTGGCCCTAGGAAAGCTAAATTGGCTTGAACCAGAACTCTCCCTTCATGCTCTGCACCGGGAGGGACAACTCCGACATTATGCCTTCGGAGTCCGACTGGCTGGCCCTAGGACAGCCAAATTTTGGCTTGAATCACCACTCTCTCTCACTTGATGCCACCATAGGGTTGTTCTCCCATCAAGTACGTAACGAACTGGCTGCTGGCAGGTTGGTCTGTTGAAAGCCTGCTTCCGCATTAACCGACGCCACAGTGAAATCAGGTGAGCGGCAGAGGTAGTTTACAGTCGGCAGACTCGGCACCCAATAGCTATCGAACGACCCCAAATTCTCCCAAAACAAAATCACAAACTGCCAGCGTGTTTGCTTCCGGCCAGACTGAATCAGCTGGTCCATGAGGGCTTAACAAATTGCTACAATTTTGTCCCCAAGCCAACCGCTTGATGCAGCTAAACCAGAGACTTCGAGCAGTGCGCAGTCAAACCAAAGAATGTCAATTCTTGTTCAGATGGTGCATAAACATCTGCAGCTACTTGGCACAACAGGACAGGCGAAAAAAACAACAGACCTTCGCCCTGCCTGCTCGTCGGACCCCCCTTCTGAGTGCCTCGGTACTTGGGGATGTTTACCGGCCAGGAGGGCCGCGCAAGCGGGAGGGTGGAAGGGCAGGGGTTGCGGATGGAGGGTGCCTCCCCTTGAACTGGTGTCTCGGGTCGCAGGGGTGAGGTGCTCTTGTTCTGGCTACTATTGTAAAACATGCTTGCCGGTGATAAGCAACTGGACTGGTGGCCCCAAGAATAGATGGGGCTTGTGTGGGTGCGGTTTAAAAAAGAAAAGAAAAGACAAGAAAAAACAACATACCTCGTGAGATACACATCGCGCCGCTTTTGACCCTTCACAACGACAGGTGCGACAATCACGTCATCTCCAATTGCAAACTGATCTCCAATGGGAAAAGTCTGCAGAGTCAGAAAGATATCAGTTAGAGCCAGTACGGGGATGATTGGATGGCAGCAGAAGACTATCTTTTTTTCCTTGTTTGAAAAAAAAAGGGCGACGGCCTTGAGATATCATGATTGAACTGACCGGCCCCAGCCAGATAATTCAGAATTATATTTTTCTGTTCGGGTGGTTGCAGATGGACTCGAACTCAGGTCTGTATTTGCAAGAGTTCATGGGTGTCCCAACTGGAACCATAAGACATTTCATTGCATGGAATCAATAAAATGAGCACCACCAGATGTGTGGGAAAGATTGCGTAGTTGTTGCAGCGTCGCCAAGTGTCGAGCCCGCACAATATACTTTCTATAAGTGGACCCTGGTTGAACCATCTCTGAAGTGAACACCGTGCTAATGGACTCGAGCATGGCGACGAGATCTGATTCAGCTGTCGTGCTGACATTAACCCATTACCTTGCTTCCCACCTGAAAAATTCACTAGGCAGATCAAAGCCTCCGAGCTGCGCCACTTATGTATCAATAATTATTCATAATCTGGTGCATCGTCTTAAATTCATGGTTTGATGGACTTTGATCCTTAAATTTGGCCCTTAAAATTCATCAAGGAATTCGTTATATACGGTCCCAGCTGGCACTTGAGATTGCTGAGATCTGAAAAAGGGAAAAAAGGAAAACAAGATATCCTTCAGAGAGTGCTGTGTTGCTATTGTCTCCTTCAGTGCGTGCGTTGTTCATTCTGTTGGTGTGTGTTGACGAGGGGAAGGAAGAGGAGGGAAAGAAGCGTAAAAAGAACAGAAATTGAAAAGAGCGAAAAATGATAAAAAATCCTTCCAAGGCTCCAAGCAAGATATCCATAAGAGAGTGCTCTGGTGCTAGTGTCTATCTCCGAGAGCGTGTTGTTCATTTTGGGCGTGTGTTTAAGGCCATCACAAAGAAGGGCTGGTTCGACAGGACTACCCCCCCCTCAAGAGCGAGGTCCCTTCGAGCAAGTAACTCAATCAGAGTCCTTGCATAGTGCATCATAGGCGTAGGTAGCAAAAAGAGATTGGGCGTGTTCCATAGGAGTCAGGGTAGCAGTAAACTTTGGTTGCTGTTCAGCACTTATCAATCGTTCATAGGCATTAACGACACGTGGTGCACTCTGCAGTAAGTCTTTCCTAGCAATCCAATAGAAATCGTCCAACGGATGGTACAGAAAATGAACTTTGTACTAAACATGCCCTCTTCATTCCGCTCAACACCCACCCAAACTATGTGCAGTTAGAATTAAAGCTGCAGGCGGTCTCTTTCGAGTTAGGCAGGTACTACGGGTAAGTGGTATAAATTAGGTTTGTTAAAGTGTCCAGAATCCAGATTCATTCAACTTGGTAAATTGGAAGCGTAACCAGTATATTGAAATACAGTGAATGTATGTGATCATGCCTTTCGTCATGAATTTCTACAAAGGAATAGAGTTCTCAGTCCTGCTTCAGTGCTTCAACCACCACCATGTTACCTAGGTGCAAAGGTAAATGGAACACACTAACATCTTTCGAATACCACAAACCCATGCACACCTTCATCGCTCTGTGATGTGGTGGCATACGAGCCGCGTGGAATGGACTTCTTCGATCATATACTCTGCTGCCTCAGGGGTCCAAGAGAAGGAATCCCGTTCTCACCTCATCATCTTCTGGGTCAAGCCACCACATAGGACGGCAAATTGGCGCCAAAGCCCGACACGCATCATCTGCCAACATTAATAGATGGTTCTGAATTAGACGTCGAACCTACAGCATGTCACCACAGCAACGCACATGAACAACATTATGATTTAGTATGGGCAGTCCATGGCCAACCACATTGGCCGCGCGCATTTGCGATATTGTTGATACGGAGCTAACCACCACAGCAACAACCTCGCTACGGAATGTAAGACAAGGATGAGAGAGGCGGGATGGTACCAACCTGCAGAGCTGAATGGCACAACTTCTCGGCTTCCGCGCTAAAATCCCATGGTGGAATTGAGAACTGCATCCCAGCCCAACAGGTAACACAACCGAAAACCAGTGAGTGCCTTCTTCTTCTTCTTTGTTTTTTTCTTTTTTTTTTCCCCAAAAAATTGGACCATTTCTCGATTTATGCATGTCATCCTTGCACAGGGGCCATGCTAATCTTCTCTGTATCATTCCAATTTTAACAGATGTTCTGAAGGACACCTTCTTCTTCTTCTTCGTTTTCTTCTTTCTTCTTCTTCTTCTTCTTCTTCTTCTTCTTCATTTCGATTATTCGGACTATTACTCGATTTATGCATGTCATTCTTGCGCAGGGCCCCTGCCCTTTAACGGATGTCCTGAATAACATTCCTTCTTCTTCTTTTTCTTCTTCTTCCTCCATTCTCCTTCCTTCCTTCCCCTTCCCCTCCCCCTCCCCTTTCTCCTTCTTCTTCTTTTTCTTCCATCCTCTTCTTCTGCCATCACGTTCTGCAGCAGAGATTTTTCTTGAGCATTCTCATACCGAAAGCGGCGAAAAGAAAACCAGGACTTCTACACTCCTCCATTGTCAACTTCCTCCTCTTCTTCCTCTCCTTCCGCTTGGTGTTCTACATCCCCTTTTTCCATCAGGATGTTTAGCATTATTTCACTCATGACATGTAGTGTTGATTTCCATCGAGTTACAACACTGCCACTGCGTCTCCTACATCCTCCTCGATCTTTTCTTCCATTTTCATCTTTTCATGCTCTGCTCCATGTCGCACATCAGGGAGCCAGGTTAAAACCGTTCCTCCTCATGCAGTAAAGAAAACCAGGCTAAAAGGGTCTTCTGAACGTCGCCGAGAAAGGAAACCAAGTCAACCATTGCCAGCCTGGGTACTGTTCCCCGCACAGAACAGCCCACGCGATATGCTGAGGCGAAAAATCAGGAGGCCAGGAATCCAACCCATAACCCCAGCGTCCCCTGCTAAGCTCGTAGTATACAGGTAGGTAGTGGGAGGCATATTGAGAGAAGAATACAGGTTAGCTTTAAAAAAAAAGAAAAGAAGTCGACCCTTGCCAGATTCTAACCATCTGCAAGGGATGACAGCTGAAGGCAGAGCCTCACCAGCATTAATGAAAACAACAGCGGTGAAGAAGCTCGGAGACCCACCACAAGTGCAGGGGTAACTTCGCAGCGTGGGAAAATGCACTGCATCTTCAGAAGAGAATGAATCTGAGAATGTGAGATCAATTAGCTGTGGTGCGTCTGGGAGTTTGAAACCATGGAAACAGAGAACGGATGGAGAGGGCATGCAAAAATATCTAGAAAAGGGAAGTCACTCGGAATTTAAAATCAACATACCTGCATGGCTGGCATCAAAGCATTTGCTTGCGCCCATCTTACCAGTAGCTCCATGTCTGTGCAGAGTGCAGTCGTCCATAAACAGTAGGCAATGATCACAAATGAGCAACATAGAAAGGCCGGCAAAACAGTACCCAAATTCTACAGCAGCTCTCACAGACATCTTACTATCCTCTTCCTCACTTCGTCATCATTACTCCCTGCCTTCATCGTGATCCCCAACCACAAACCCTCCCACACTTCCTCTTCTTCTTCTTCTCCTCCTCCTCCTCCTCCTGATCATCCTTACATAAACTATGCAAGTCGGTACTTAATCCAACAACTCCATCATCATCCTTCCTCCTCCTCCTCATTATCAATTTATTGCCCTACCGGTAATTCACATCACCACAAGCACTGCCACCACTACACCACCATCACGATCACTGCCAGCACCACGCTCGCCACCCTCCCCTGCCGCGTCCTACCACCATCACGATCAGTGTGAGCATCAATACAGGCATCAACCTACCAGCGCCCCCCCCCCCCCCCCCCCCCCCCCCCCCCCCCCAAACGACCGCCGCCCCCCCCCCCCCCCTTTGTTCTTCTCCTTCTTCTCATGCTTTTCCATCATAGGTTTCGAGTTCAACAGTAGCAGCCTTTACATGACAAGGTACCACTATCATCCTCGTTATTCATCACCACATGCCCCTTTCCCTATCCATTTCCCTCCTGCTCATCCACCACCATTAGCGCTGCCACCACCGCACTGCCTTATCATCAATATCTTCACCATCTCACAACTGCCACTCCCACCACAACCACTGCCTTATCATCAATATCTTCACCATCTCACAACTGCCACTCCCACCACAACCACCACCACTACCGCTATCATCCATGTCATCAGCATAATTGTTGTCAGTATTGTCACTCCATCATCATGATTCTTATCATCATCAGCCACAGAAGTATTGTCCTGTTACCATCATCCTCATCCTAATCGCATCACCATCATCATCATCCTCATTGCATCATGGCCGTCATCATCACCGTCATCCTCACCACCCTGGCCATCAATCTCACCTAATCCTTAACACCAAGACCACCACTAGCGCAAGGATCAGCAGTGGCAGCACCGGCAGCACCACCACCACTAGTATCATCATAAGTAGCGGCAGCTCATCACCATCACCATTCCCCTGTCAACATCGTTCCCATCCCCACTATCCTCACGGCCCTTCGTCATCATCATTATCTTTATCATTGTAGTTCCCATTTTTCATGTCCATACCCTCAGCAGTGCCAAGCCAATCATCACGATGTCCTAACTGTCCGCCTCTTCTAACCCTTCGTCATCACCACTATTAGCCTGAGTCATCACGATAGACGCACAACCACCACAACGACCACCCCCACCTCCAGCAGCACCATCACCCCCACCACTATCAAAGAACAGCCATTTATGTTCTTTTATTCTCTTCGTCTTTCCATTCTTCCTATTCCACGTCTTGAGACATAGATCTGAAGTTTCTGAACTTCATCACCCACGTAAACACCCCCTTCTCCCTCCCCCACCCACGTAAACACCCCCTTCTCCCTCCCCCACCCACGTAAACACCCCCTTCTCCCTCCCCCACCCACGTAAACACCCCCTTCTCCCTCCCCCACCCACGTAAACACCCCCTTCTCCCTCCCCCACCCACGTAAACACCCCCTTCTCCCTCCCCCACCCACGTAAACACCCCCTTCTCCCTCCCCCACCCCCCCCCTCCCCCCCCCGAAGGCATGCTCACACTCAACCATTGATTCCCTGTGCACTTTCTGGTGGTTCTCGCCATGCAGAACAAAAGTAGATTAGTTTAAACTTTCACAATAGCTCCAATGCCGCATTCCAACAGGAAACCACGATGAAAATCCAACACCTAAGCAGTGTACAGACTACAATACCTGGTTTGCTTCCAAAGTACGCATTCCCTCCAATCATATCGGGAAGGCAGAATGGGTAGCCAAGCAGCCCAGATGTAAGTAGCGTTGGGATAACACTCCGCAAACCATTCCCCGAGCCCCAGTGCGAAAACCTGGGACCAAACACAACTCGAGCAACAAAACAGTGCATAAACCTGTCGTCAGAAATGAACTGCAAGTGCTGTCAAATATTTCGCAAGATTTCCCAAAAACGCTCTTAAGAGTCTTAACATAATTCTTCTTTTATTTTTTTTTGAAAAAAAGGCATTCTTGTTACATCAAAACTCAGACAGTCAACTGTGTTTTCCACTCTTTCGAAAAGAGAGCGTCATGTGAAAAGGATAAATGCATTCTGAGCCTCCTTCTCTCTCTCTCTCTCTCTCTCTCTCTCTCTCTCTCTCTCTTGTGAAAAGGATAAATGTTCTGAGCCTCCTTCTCTCTCTCTCTCTCTCTCTCTCTCTCTCTCTCTCGCACACACACACACACACACACACACACACACACACACACACACACACACATATCAAAGCGTCAGCAACACATTGCTACACCAGATGGCCACCAAAGGATAAACGCCTCCTGAGCTTCCCGGCTCTCTCTCTCTCTCTCTCTCGCGCGCGCGCAACCACGCACACACACACTCACACACTCACACACTCACACAACAATGCGTCATCAACACATTGCCACACCAGATTGCCACCTCCGTGGACATATCACCATCTTTCCTCTCCTGTCATCCTTGCCCTCCCCCCTACTCCGCTGCTCCTGCCAGAAACCATCTTATGTACAGGCAGTGCCAGGCTAGCAATACAACTATCAGTCAGGACACGTCCCCTGATCACTTCGAGGTAAGAAGCCAACCAGGCAGTTGCAAGCACTCGTACGAAGTGCCAGACGTGCATGTTATGCCAAAATGGGAATGAAATCAAAATTATATTTTTTTATAAGAGGCCACATGTAATCAAATCAGACATGCCAGCTTTTGTGAAACCAACGCATGCCCATCGCTGTCAGTCTTTTCATGTGCACCTCTTCATCTTCTTCCCTCTCTCCTCCTTGCCAGCATTGTACTAACAGCCCGTGGCTCCTTAGTCTCACCATCATGGCAGTTTTCCTCGCCATCCTTCTCCACTCACTTTTTTTCCCGCTACTTTTCTGTTCTCCACACTTTCACAATCATAAAAGGGAGAATAATGGAATATCCGAATATCATTAGTTTCACATATGATGTACTTCATGGTGACAAGAGGCGCAAGAGCGGGCATTGTTTTCCAGTCGATGGCGTGTTTGTAAGTTAGAACAAGATTTTTTCAGACTCTTCTTGATCGGACAAGGGACAAGTGATGGAGGGGGAGTGTGCTGAAATGATTGGACTTAATCGGAAGTTAGTCCACATCACGGTTTTTCTTTTTCTGCAGCTCCACTGACCTGTCGCCCATTCTTGTCAGCAATGGCACACTCGTTGTTCGATGACCCGTCCGTACTTCTCCAACTTCAAAGTTCGATGCCACCTCCTGTGCACGTTAACGACAAACGAAATCTCCGTGAAAAATGCAAAAAAAAACTGAGGAACATGCCAGTGAAGTAACAGCACAGTCTCCAAGAGAAGGAGAGGGCTAGTATGGAAAAAAAATCAAAAAAAACTTGTGGACTGACAATGCCAACTAGATAGTGTGAGCCTGTGAGGTTTTATATTGAGAGAACTCAGAGAAGAATATAGCTTCCTTAAAAAGGGAAAGAAAAGGGAAAAAAAAAAAAAAAAGAACAGAAACACGGCCAGTAAGAAAACCACATGAATTACAGGCACTCCAATTCTATTTCTGCCTTTGATCTTTTCATGTTCATCTTACGACTACTAACTAATACTTGCCTTCTAGCAAAAGTTTCAGGAAACCACTTTGAAAAACTTAAGGCATGCGCACAGGCTAAAACACACTATAACACACACAGACAACATTAAACAAACTTTAACAAAGACAAAAATATAGACAAAGAAAGCAGAATAAAACAAGGGAAGCAGAATAAAGTAATTCTGAATTACCTAGGGCCCATCACTTCCGTGATGATATCTAGAGGCTGTTGGTCTCTCCAAAAAAAAAAAAAAAAAAAAAAAAAAAAAGAGGTTGCTAACAGAAAGGCCTTGAAGCCCTCATGGAATCAGCTTCCGTGAGAAAAAATAAGACAAAATAACTTTACAGTAAGACATAGGAATGATAGGATACTTTTTTTCCCCCCCACACCTTTTTTCTTCTATAAGGGCAACAATCTGGACTCTCGAGATATCGTCTTCCAAGTTCGAACTGACCGGCCCCAGGCAAAGTCAGATTTGTTTTCAGTCGTCTGATTCCATAGGAATTCAAGCTCTTGCGCCTCATCACCAAAGGGCCTGGCTCAGTTGGTACACCCATAAACTGTTGAAACTTGAGTTACAGACCTAAGTTCAAATCCAGATGCAGTCAATCAGATTAACAGAATAAAACAAGTCTGAATTACCTGGGGCCAGTCAGTCCAGTGATGATATCTCCGGACCGTCTCCCTCGAAGGGAAAAAACAGAAAAGAACTAGGCTACCAGCCGGGCCGCCCCGGTCCCCGGTGGCCAGCCCGTGCAAGGACCAGGGAAGGCCCCAGCAAAAAAAAAAAAAATAAAAAAAAAAAAAAATAAAAAAAAATCCCAAAACAAACTATGTTATGCAGAAAAAAACTGAACAACTTTTGCCTCAGGGTCACATCGAAATTCTTCACCAAATTTAGAATAAAAAATAAAATTAAAAATATTTATTTTATTTTTATTATTTCATTTGTTTTTGGCCCGGCCGGGCAAGTGACCCCGGGCCACTCTGGTAGCCTAGGAAAAGAATCAAAAGATTCTTCAAAAAAAAAAAAAAAAGATTTCGAGAGTGGCACGTGACCACTTGCCCGGCCAGGCTAAATACGAAATACAAAAATAAAAAATAGAAAATAAAAAAATATATATTTTAAATTTGGTAGTAATTGGTACGCAATTTCGATGTGACCCTGAGGCAAAAGTTGTTCAGTTTATTTTTCTGCACAACATAGTTTGTTTTCGGATGTTTTGGATTTTGTTTTTCTTTTTTTTGCTGGCACCTTCCATGGTCCTTGCACAACCGGGCCACCCGGGAAAATAGGGTAACCCGGGCAGCCCGGCTGGTAGCCTAGCTCAGGCCTGTATTTCAACAGTACATGGGTGTAAGTTTGTGTAACAACTGAACAACTGTCTTCACCCGAATAGAACGCCCGGTCATTATCACTGCATCTGGACTTAAAGTTGGGCCAAATGCAGCTATAATGACCAGGCGTTCTATTTGGATGAAGACGGTGGGCCATCATGGAAAGATTTCCTCCATAATTGCTGGTCAGGACTCACAAGTATGGAAGGCTAGGATAAATGCCCTGTTGTCCTAAGACTCTGGAAAGTTAAATGTAGAGAGGTATTCATAGCTAGAACCGTGGAAGCGTCAGCAAACGACTCAGCATGCATGTGAAAAGTGGAGGACATTTGGTTGCATCTCTCGGTCTTCTCGTGCATGTAGAGGAGGAGAGGCCGTTGGCTGGACAGCAAACCGAGTCAATAAAGATATACAGTACCGACCTGGACCCAGAGTCGTGTATATTCAATCGGTGATATGATAGGTGTATGAGTGCGAAAGCGGCGAGGGAGGAAGCAAGGCTCTCCCGCATCAAACTTGAACCCATCGATCAAATTTTCCTCCTGCAGTTTCTTCAGCCGTGTCACAAACCTGCAATCGCAGAGAGCGACAAGTTCGAAAAACAAGCAGTACACAAAGACGGAGATTGAACATAGGATGATAGGATAGATCTCAAAAAAATTGGTGCACAGGAGGGACTTCGTACTTCGTACGTTCCGAGGTGGTTCCAGCACATAGACAGATTACGAGGCTCGTATTCGAACCTCGGGATCCAAGCGGGTTTCGTAAGACAAAGTTACTTTCAATCGCAGGCCAAATAACTCGTGGAGTTTCACATAATGCAACTTTTTTCACGTAACTGTTTTGTTTCTGTCTAGCAAGATTGATTCTGTGATGCAGAATCCGAAGAGTGGAGATCAAGGCCAGTGACCTTTCAATGCTGGTCCTGGCCAAGCAGTACACAAAGACAGAGATTGAACATAGGATATGATAGGATAGATCTCTAAAAATTGGCGTTCTACAGTGTGCATAAGAACACACAATACTTAGGAATGTATGTTCTTACTTAGCAATGTTGTTAATAAAGGACAAGATGCGAAGCTTTCAGTAGGAGCATGCCCACACATTCCTTTTTAAATATTCTATTTATTTTACAATTTGGACCATTTCTCGATTTATGCGTGTCATCGTTGCGCAGGGGTCATGCTAATCTTCTCTATATCGTTCCAATTTTAACGGATGTCCCGAAGGACATGACCTCACATTCCTAATCAATGAAATTTAGCACTTGGGCTTCACCATTTTTTTCCGTCCTAGATAAGAACCAGTCACAAGGCCTCTCAGGTCTAACGCTCGGCGAAGATCACTGTAAGTCCAGTCGGACTACGGTGGTCTAGGCCGACGGGAGTGGGGAAGTGGATTAGTCAGCGTCGGTGGACTTGAGTTGGTGGACAGTAGGGGGAACCCCCTGAAGATGATGGCGTGGCTGCCATCGAAATGCGGTGTCGAGGACGCCAGTACCTCTGTTTTTCAGCTACATGATAATTTTGTCACACCTTCTGGACTTGTACTCTTTTGTCTTGTACTCTCCATTTGACCTTGTTTGGTTCTTTCCTAATCTAATCTCCTAATCTGGACAGCATTCAAAGAATGATGAAAGAAGCTCTTGCACCAAGACAGTTTATTCATGAGATAACCTACTCCTTTTTCTTTTTATTAAATAATAATAATAATAATAATAATAATAATATAATAATAATATAATAATAATAATAATAATAATAATAATAATAATAATAATGCGAGGATCTGAGTACTCAGCAGGCCAAAGGGGCCCCTGTTGTATTCTGCGCCCGCCCTAAGTGAAGGCGGGCCTAATGAATCACGAGAACCCTTCGGCTGTCAATTTCATATTGGGGCTCAGGCAGTTTCGTCGCGCCAGTTGGTTGACAGAAACACAGGCCGAGCAGCAAGGAAATTCCACGGCCTTCTAGGCTTTTCCAAAAGCGCAGGCCTTGGGCGAGATTCGCAGCCTCATACACAGACAGTTGGAAGGCCCAACCGAATGTGGCCCAGTATCTGCATCAGAGGCGCAGCATCCTGGGGCCTACCCGAAGCTTTTGGGCCCAGGCCCAGGCCAGCCAGGCTGCGAAGCCAGGCAGGCTCTTTCCATATAGGAAAGAGCTCGCTGCCTGGAGCGGCATTCAGCACTTGCATGCTGGCGGCAGCACTGCTGGAGCAGACGCTCGTGGGCTGCTGCTGGCACTGAGAGGCAAGGTGCTAGCGCGTGCGATCGTGCAGGGAGCAGGGCACTGCTGAGGACAGCGCCATAGCCCAGCCTCCATAGCTGGATGGGCTTGGACAACAATGAGGCGCAGGAGTGGTCTTCGGTTGTACAGAGGGAAGACGTGGGAGTAAGTCAGGGGAGAGAGAGAAGGATGATGATGATGATGATGTGAGGGCACATACCTGGTATTGGCGATGGTCTGCATTGGGCGACATCTTCAAGTACTTCGTGGGCTGCTGACGTCAACAGTTGCATTGTCAATTACTAGGCAGACTGTAGCTGTGTAGGAAGTAGGCTGGGTGCCGAGCACCAATTAGGGAGATAGGGCCTGGACACTCATGTTGGTGTTGGAGAGAGCAAGCTCTCATTGACATTGGTTTTCAGTGTTACGATTCTTCATTGGTGTTATATTGGTGCATTTCTGCTTTCTGGGCACTGTTATACTATCTGGCCTTCAATGTGATTATGCGTTCTGGACATTGTCATCTCACTATTGCTCATTTTCCTAGCAATAATAATAATAATAATAATAATAATAAAATAATAATAATAATAATAAATTTACTACTTCACTATGCCAATCTTAGATAAGAAGTATTAAGAAACCGTCACAACGCTTTTTTCGGGATATTCATTCAAGGAGACGATGAAATAACCTAATCGATTGGATTGATTCCTTGCACGGGGGCCAGGCTAATCTTTTCTGTATCGTTCCAAATTTAAAAGAATTGAGCAATGTTTTACAATACCATTTTCTTCAGGCTTAGATGAGAACCAGTCACTAGGGCACGTCATTATTTCAAAGCATGATGAAAGAAGCTTTCGCAACATGACATGATTTTCAGGAGATAACCTCAGATCAGACCAAAGTTATAAAAGAGATGATGATTGGAGGTATTGGACAAGATTTGGTACCAGAGTAGGGAAAAACCCTCCCGAAGGCAACAGAGTTCAACAAGTTATCTTTTCATCTGCAGCCAAGTTCTGTAAACAGCATAATTTTTCCATATCCTACTTCTACCACCAGCTATGGTGGTCATCTACTACTCCGAGCTATGGCTGCCTGACCAACGCTCATTTCCCTCCCTGGCAGCAGCACAGCAGTATGGCACACTACAAACTAGCACTGAGTGTCCCGCAGGGCAGAAAATGTCACGACTGAACTGGCACCACACTGGGACATAGGACCCCCTTGGCTGGAAGGCCGCTTCATCCGTTAAGCGCTTAGGCTCGTACGAAAACTTTATCTGGACTGTCAGATGCGCTTGCAATTTCTGGCCAAAGGAGACAGAGGGGGAAGCAGGGGGAGGGGTGTGCCGCCTTTCAGGCAGACGTGGCAAACAAGAGCATCACAGATGGTTACTACACGGCACAGAAGAAGCAATGATGGAAAATGTCCGAAGACAAAGCAGCTCAGAGAACTCACCATTTGACAGCATCCGGGTTTGTGACATCAAGCGCCACAGCAGGAGTGGGCTGCCACCTGTCACAGAAATGACAACCAATCAGTCAGATTTGCTAAGAACATCCTAACAAGTCATCGGAGGGTTTAATGAAGACTGAGATTGAGGGGGGGAGGGGGAGAGAGAGAGAGAGAGAGAGAGAGAGAGAGAGAGAGAGAGAGAGAGAG